CTAATTGAACTGGAAAGTGTAATAAGCTAATAAAATGGCTGGGATACATTGATACATTCCGGGATATTGTATAAATTCTAGTGTTCATAAATAAAAAAAACTTTAAAATCTTAAAATATATAATTGTGCTAAACTTATTCAGAAATAATTTCTTCTACATATTTACAATTTAAATTGTTTAGATCTACCCACCTACAAGTTAACCTCAACACACAAAAATAGTTTCAATTTTGAATCAATGTGCTTGTAACGACGAAAATTTGTCCAAAGGCCAAACTCTATATAGAACTCTACTTCTAATCAATCCAAGTGGTACCGGTCCAAATACTCTTGAGTCTGATGAATTCCCGGAGTTATCACCTTCCAACCATACATGACCTCGAGGTACAATATGACTTTTTCTAGGAAAATATCCCTTAACTTTATCCCCTGGTAAACCAACAACTCTTTTGCATATATTCTGTTTGGGATTTGTTGGGTTTTTTGCTATAACAATGTCTCCATGTTGCAACCTATGTAAACGCGGTGTGACATGTTCTGTGAGCAATATATTATTTGATTCTAATGTTGGCTCCATAGATGGACCGAGACACTGAAAAAAAAAAGCATTGTCGGTAAAGATTGTTCAAAAATTACAGAAAATGAAACTTTATCAAATTCTGTAATTTAATTATAATTGAGATACTCTAAAAATAACGAAATAAAATAATTGCTATATCTTTAATGTTACTTACTAGTGATTCAAATGCAATTTCTTATAAATTATCTAGTTGAAAAATAATAGGGTGCTATGATATTCATTTTAATGCTACCTTATCACTTACCATAACAAAATCCCCTAAGTATTCAAATGTACAGTGAGTAACACAAGCATATTGAAAAACATAACCAAGAAATCCACAAGTCTTCCCTAAGATTTTCAAAATAGTCATTGCTATTTAAGACGGCTGAATATTTCATATACACTTATTTACATTAGGGCGTCATTAAACATATTGTCTTTCAAGATTCTTATTTCGTTCGTTGATTATTTAATTTTGATTGGTTGAACAGATTTTGGAAGGTTATTCGTAGGTTAGATTAAGACGTTGATTAGCAAAAGAAAATTGATAAAATTATTTCAATTATTTAAATGTAACCCAGAAAAGTTTTAGCATTAGCTTTACGGGAATTAGCCCCGTTTTAACATAATTTATACTAGATACATATGAAATATCGCTTTATTTCGACTGGTTATTCTTTTTTTTTGATTTTGCCAATATGAAGTTGACATTGACAGAGTCCAACATTTATGACGTTGACAAATGATAGCTTGAAAAACAATGTTGACCGTTCTGTTATCATTTTGCTACTAACAAAACCCCTATTGGAGTTAATAGTATTTGTGTTTTAAAAGTGAATTCAATGTACAATTACAATTCATGTCTTTAATAACTAATTGTAGTAACAAATACTGAAAGGTTCCTGAAAAATACTTATCCGAACGCAGCAAAGTTCCTACTAATAGATCAGTAGGAATTTTGAGCATAATCTGGTTACATTGATCTTTCATCTTTCAATCATTATTTGACAGTTGAGTGCAGGTTATAGACGCATTTTACGTCGAAATAAGTTTGATTAAATGGAAATCAGTATAAAATTCATCATCGCTTAAATATTTTCTTTGTAAAAAATTACAACTAATCGATTAGTTAAAGAGGAAAGTAGAGATTTTGATTGTGCAAAGGAAATAGTTCGTAAATTTTTTGTGGATGTCGATTATCTTTACTTTCACGTGAGGTTTTTTTATCGCAGTGTTTAGTACAGAATTCAGCGAAAGAGAGCATTAAGGATTTGTTTTCAATTTGCATAGCTTTGTTAAATGTTTACCTTGCCACCTACCGGAGGTGTTTTATGCTCGTGTCCTGATAAAGTGTTAAATCAATATTGTAATTGGGTATCTATGTGCTGCTGTCAAATGAGTGTGCATTACAAGTGTACATGCTGACCCATGAACTCTTGATGGATACAAATTGCTTTTACAGTGTTTGGAATTATTTTGAAGATTTATAATATTCATGTAAGTATAATTGCTACTATAAGTATATTGAAGATACATTTTTGTTTATTTTTATAAATTAATGTTTGTAATAGAATTACCACCATTTTTGATTTTCTTGGTAACTTACGAGCATTTATTCATTCTTCTAAGAAAATGCAATGTTACTGTTAGTAATTTTAACTGAATAATGTTTTCTTTAAATTTCCGACTATAACCTGAGCACTGAACACATCAAAGTAATTGATTATATTTGATTTTGAAAGTTAAGTTTTAGTAGTATAATATTATAGTTAAAATGTCATTTAAGACTATTGTTCCAAGTGTCTTTTACAAAAGTACTCGGATGTCCTGATTAATATGTTCAAATTTTATGTCAAAGGGAAATAAAAACCCCCATGCAAATTAGTTTCAATTAAATGGTAAATAAAGGGTGGTTTTCCCCTATTGACACAACAGTTAAAACCTTCATACACTTTACATTGACAGTATTACACCTATTGCTTAATTTTTTAATTCTTTACTTGTAATATACTTAAAAAACAATTTAAAGTATGTAGATTTCTATATCTCCTATAAAACAATAGAAAGGAAAATTGTATTAAGTTTAATTTAAAATTAAATGTATGTATATAACAGTCATGTTTTTATTCCTAATGATGTATAAAATTTCAGACACAATGGGCAAGTTTGGCAGCAAGAAATGCCGGCTGCTGTCCATGCTGTGGTTGACGGGGACATTCTTCTTTGTGGAGCTTATCGTGGGATATGTGACAAACTCAATGGCACTTGTAGCAGATTCATTTCATATGTTGAGTGATGTTGCCGCACTTGTTATTGCATTCTTGTCTATTAAAGTGAGTAGCTCTGCATTTTAATATAAAGTTATTTGTATAAATATTATAAAATTATCTTCTATATGAAATTAAATTTGTTTTTGTCTTAATTTTAAATCATGGAATAAATTGGAATAGATGATTTTACTAGGGTTTTCAGAGAAAAAACGTAAAGGCATATCTTATCAAATATTCTATGATAATATAAAGAGGATAGATTATTATATGTTATGAATAAACTAAAAAACTACTGGACCCTATTCAAAATATTATTTTGTCTTTAGAAAGTTAATTTAAGTATTGTAACAATCTCTATTAAATTACACTTCTAGGCATGAAAACATGACCTAGTGGGGGCCACCCCCTACTATTAATATTGTCTTATTCCTAGCCATTTTTATATTTGGTTTACACACCTCATTTATGTAACATGTTGCCAACCAAAAGCGCCTTTATCCGCATGACACTGTAAAAACTTTATTTTATTGTTAACATATATCAAATTATCAATTGCAAATGTCACAATGACATGACATGATGACAAACCATAGCAACCTTGCTTCCTTGATGTTGGCAGGAACTTATGGTCTCTTTCCCACATTAGGGTTTTTATCCAAAATATTTGCCCCCTAAGTTTAATGGTGTAAAAATATATAGCCTAAAGTGTGACATAAGTGTAGGGCTTTTTATTAAAAATATAATTATCAAAAAATATGCTGTAATTTCTGACATCTTAGGCAACAATGTAGTGTGTGTTTACGCTTTATTATAATAGTATAGATGTCTATAATTACTATCTTTGAGAGTTCAACTAATTCAAGCACTAATTGACCCAATTTAAAACAATAGCACACAATTTCTATTAAGTGCTTAAAATCCTTTAGTCATTAGTAATTTATTTTACTTATGATTGTTTAAAATAATTAATAACTTGACAGTTAATATTTAGAGATTATTTTGCGTATCGTTTCGCAAATTAACTAACGTTACTACTATTTTTTATGGAAAAAGTCGATATCCTGTGAGAGGTCGAGTTTTGAACGCCTGCGTAGTGGAACAACGTAATGCATGACGTCATGTTATTCAAGTCTTCTACGAATCGAACACACTATAAAATATATAAATAATGAATCATCAACATCCTTGTATATATCTGAAACAGTTATTTCCCCATAATCATATTTTCCATACATTATTAAGAGATTTTTTCCTATAATCTTCCAATGATTCCATGTAACATAAACATTTTTTTTTACAATGCAATTCAAGATTTTTTACGTTAATTAATAAGATAATAGATAAATTTGTTTTGCTCGTAAAACGCTGATAGAAGGAAATATATGTCGCGAACTAACTTTTTTTTTTAATCTCCATACTATCTAAATAAATATAGAATGACTGGCTGTTGCTAGCGACTTCGTCCGAGTGAAATTAAAAAAAATATAACCTATGTTACTGATAACGTAGCTTTTTAAATGGGCAAAGAATTTATAGCCCAGTAGTTTTTGAGTTACTTCAATGCATACAAATATACAAATCTTTTCTCTTGAAATATTAGTAGATAAAAATATGGATTAAAACATACTAAACGATTTTAATTTTGTTGAAATAATTCGTAGATGTCACCAAAGAAATGGTCAAAGAATACATTTGGATGGGCTCGCGCGGAGGTGCTTGGTGCGCTAGTGAATGCTGTTTTCCTGGTTGCTCTGTGCTTCAGCATCACGGTGGAAGCGATGCAAAGATTCATCAAGATAGAGATCATACACGATGCGAAACTTCTAGTTGCTGTTGGAGTGATGGGCCTGATACTGAATATTGTTGGATTGTTCTTATTCCATGGTGAGATAATATTTAGACTGACAGACATAAAGACCAACTGTTTGCATATTTAGTTTTAATATTTGTTTCGTTGTTACGTCTTGTAGTCTAAAGAATATTTAATAATTATTTCACCTTTATACGCATCGAATTTAAATAGGCAACATTAATTAGGCAACTGGGTTTTTTTATTGATTCATTTGTTATTTCCACTATAATGTGTTAAGAATATTTCTTTTTTTTTTATTGGAGAGTTATATTCATGTATGAGCGAAATACAAAAGCAATGATAAGAAATTCTTCAATTAACCGACTTACAAAGCATATGATTACTTTTTTTATACTTGGCATGGTTTGTATGAATGTCATACTTCATACTAATACTATAAGTAAGTTTAGATGGATGGATGGATGTCTGTTAGTAGAGTTTCTAGATGAAATTTAAGACAGATGCAGTCTTATGTAATCTGGATGTACACATAGAGTACTTGCTTTTGTTTTTGCTAATTCCGCGCAAACGGAGTGGCGTGCAAAAGCTAGTTTATAAATCTTTTCATGCATTTTGTCATTGAACTTCCATACTTTATTGCAAGATGAAGTGTTCTTGTATATAAAAATTAACATTACACTTGTAATACAAATGTTTTCTTGTAAAATTTATCACGTCTCGTTTGTATGAATGTGTCGATTACACGCAGACTGTTTCTGCTCATTGTGCTACAAACAGGCACGTGCGCTACATTGTTTTGAAATTCACATCGATCGGTAAGATATTCATTGGGACGATAACGTAACGTGCAAGATAAAACAATATTTCAGTATGCACTAAAACTCGGTAGCAGGCAACGTGTTAAATGTAAACTAACTTGTATCTAGATCGGCATTTGTTTTTGTTTGACCTTGCTTCTTATACAATATCTAGTTTGATAAAAAGGTATATTATAGTATTCAAAGTGTTAATTAACAGATGGCATTTCATGTATTGTATCAATTGTTATATTGGATTTGAACCCCGATACTTTAGTGGCAAGTTTATTGACCCGGTGGGCAAGCTCACCGCTCCTTGTACGCTCTTCGTATAATTAAATAACAATGAATAAGCGATAAACGCCGTGAGAGTTTAATAAACCGGTGTATTATGAACTGCGTCGCAAATGTTGTTGACGTGAATTTTCACTGTTAAAACACTCACAAAAACATTAGTCATATCTTTGTATCTCCATGAAAAAACTGTGATAATGATGTTTTTATCCGAATGTTTCGTCATCGGAAATACACTATAAGGATATCAATTACAATACATTGTATAGCGTTAGTTGTTTATTTGCAGTTTACGGAACAAATTTAGTATTTTCCAAAACTGACATAAAGCCTGCTATACACGCACAATTTGAACTATGCAATAAACCTGCAGTAGAATAGTTCAGTTAATTCGTACGTGCGTTGGCAAAATTTAACTCACATATAACTGTATAGTTTTCTGTTTTGCCTGCACACCTTCAGTTTTAACTGCAGGTGTAACACAGTTTTTAATCTGTAGTGTTAAGATACCTGATTGAAAACGTTTAAATAAAAGACAAAAACCTTTTAGTCAAGGTAAATTATTCGGCATTGTCTTACTGAATTAGGTGTAGCTATTTTCGACACGGCAGATTTATTAAGGAAAAAGTATTATAAACCATTGATGTGTAAAGCCGTAAGCGCTTTACCGGGAATTGTAGACAGGTTTTTGTATCACCAGTTGTGTTTTGCGAAATTTGATATACGATTAATTAAACATTCTTCGATGCTCTCCACTTCTTCGTATTTAAAAGAACATTCAATGACGTTAGCCGCCTGGGCGCAGATGTATGCCTTCCCTTATTCACGTCTAAGTATAAGCAAAAAAGAAATAATAAAAAATAGCCTACATTACTTAGATAATTTACTTTTTTAATAGTTAAAGAATTTTTGAAATCGGCCAAGTACTTTTTGTGTTATTTCAATACATACAAAAATCCCAAAAATACAAATCTTTCTTCTTTATAATAATATTCAAGATTCAAGATGAGTACATTTGTACCGCACCTTTTTCTCACATAGAAGTATCTATGTACATTTAAGTTCTTTCCACTGTTGTTTTAATGAGTCATGTGAATAAACCTTACTTAGTTTCCTTAGAAATCCAACGATAGTTAATTATACAAATATTATAAAGAGGAATGATTTGTATTTTTGTATGTATTTCAATAATTCAAAAACTACTGGGATGATTTTAATAATTCTTTCACCGTTAAAAAGGTAATTTATCCGTGAGTAACATAGGCTATATTTTCATGCGGGCAAAGTCGCGAGCAACAGCCAGTCATGAATACTTGAAAGGTTTCTTTTCAAAATTCTTATTACAATTTCCTAACATTATTCGATAGGTCATATTAAGGATGAAAAATTCTTACTTTGAAAGCCTTGTTGACGATAATCTATTTGTCTTAGAGCACGGTAGCAGTCACGGGCACACGCACGGCGGCGTGCCTCCGCCATCCAACGTGCGCCATCTCACGGAGATAGTGAACAGCAACGCTGACATGGCGTTGGGCCACACCGCCGCCGGCGCCGGCGCTGAGGAGACAGACGAGATGGTGCCGCCGGGCGCCAAGCTGGCCAGCAAGCCAGCAGGCCGCGGCCCTAGCGACCCCGGACATCTTAACATGAAAGGCGTCTTCCTCCATGTTCTATCTGATGCATTGGGTAAGTGAAGGCCTCGTAATACAGTCAGCTGCATAATCTATATACTTCTATACTAATATAATAAAGAGTTAAGAACACTACTTTGTGAACTAATGATGAACTTAAAAGGAAGTTTTTGTAATATTACACAATATCTAAAAAATCTTAGCATTCGTTAAATAGATGTTTAATATGCTGTCAAACCAGATACCATATAAATGCAAATTAGTTATTTCCGTGTTTACAATATTTTGTAGGTCAATGTATGCATTCATGATCGTTCTTGCTTGTCTTATTTACTTGTTTTATATGTCTTATCAATAAATATCAATAAATATAATATGTTCTTAATTAATTTGTATGTTTTGATTCCAATAACATTTTTGTTAGATTTTATAGAACCATTAAGTCTTAACTAAGGTCAGAATCACAAAGCACTGTTAGATAGAAAATATTAAATTTAAAGAAACAACATCCTTCAAATTGTCGACTTGTTCCGCAAACGTGCTCTACAATTTCCTTCTTCCTGCATATAAGATGTTAGTTTCCGTTTGCTGTCAATGTTACATTCCAATTACTACGACATACACATATTTTAGCGTGTGGTCATAAAATAACAATAAGAAACTGAATCACCTGTGTGAAAACAAAATGACATGACAGTAATCTTACTAATCTTTATTCTTACTAACATTTTATATGCAAAAGTTTAGTTGGATGTTTGTTTGTTAGCGTGTATCTCCAGATCGACAATCGGTATCGTTGAAATTAGGCTTAAATGCAGAACATAGTTTATAATAGAACTAGCTGTTCCTGTGCAGCTTCATCCGCATGAAACTATAAAAAAAATATTTTATTATTTACATTTGTCAAATTATGAATAACAAATATCAAAACGACATGACATGACAACCTTGGCAATCATGCTTCCTTAATGTTGGCAGCAACTTATGGTATCTTACCCACATTATGGTTTTTATTCAAAATATTTACCCCTTAAGTTTAATGGCGTGAAAATATCTAGCCTAAAGCGTGACGTAAGTGTAGAGCTTTTTATTAAAAAAAAGAATTAGTCAAAAATATGCTGTAATTACTGACATCTTAGGCAACAAAGAAGTGTGTGTTTACGCTTTATTATAATAGTATAGATAGACATAGGACATATCTTTATAAAAGTAACTTGTCAGAACACATGTCTAATCTAAGTTAGCAAAAAAATAAAATACTTTTTCTTTGCACTGTAAATAAATTGAATATGTTTATAGTTTGGAACAATCGCGATACGGACCGTATGTAATAAATATTGATATATCGCCAGGGAATATACGATAACACAATAAAGTTAATGATCTAAAGACTATTGTTATGATAGAAGCGGAAAATAACATATCGACTCTTGCAATATGCATTACAGTTTAGTTATTGCATATTAGATAAAGAGAATAGTCTAGCCTAGTGTTTCCCTTTGTACAAATTTGAATCCTAAAATTATTCAATAAGCAATAATTATAATTGATTGAAGACTAGACTCAAAATACTTTAAAGATATCGATTTCAAAAATCTCACCATTAGAAAGCTACTGATAACGTAGGAGTAAGATAGGCTATTTTAATTTCTAAATTCTCGCGGGCGAAGTCGCGAGCAATAGCTCGTAATCTATACTCTATACTAATATAATAATGCGTAAACACACACTACTTTGTGGCGTAGAATGTAAGCAATCACACCATATATTTGAATAATTCTTTATTCTATAAAAATCCCTACACTTACAACACGGTATAGGCTATGTTTTCACACTATCAAACTTAGGGGATAAATAAATTGGAAAACCTTCATGTGGGAAAGGTACCATAAACTACAAGCTGCCAACATCACGGAGGAAAGGTTGCCATGGTTTGTAATCGTGTCATGTCATTTTGACATTTGCATTTGATAAATTGACAAATATAAACAATTAAATACAATTTTCATAAATTCATGCGGATGAAGCCGCACGGGAACACCTAGTAAATAATAATAACGGAGTCATGAATGAAGCTTTGTAGCTTAAATACAAATGTAGAAGTAAGCAAAGGTGTGTCAGGGTTATGCGAATATATCCTTGATACAATTTTGCACAAGCTAACCTTTTGACTGAGCCTCAGTGGTTTTTATCAAGACATGAACTTGGCAAAAAATGACCAATTTAAACTGACCAATCTATTTTTAAATTGAAAACTTGTGTACTCGGAAATAAATTTATCGCAATGCATTGTGATAAAATGTTTATTGTTAATGAGTTTTTATTTGGTAATAAAGTACGCAACGTGTTGTATAGAAATAGCGTTTCGAATCGCAATGAAAAGTTATTTATGTACATTTGTTCGGGTCCTTGGTATTGTAGTGGCGATACTATTTCGGAACAAACATGTACGTACTGCGAACCTTGTGCCAGTTAACATGACGAATCTTATCATATCACCTATGCTAGTTATGATGCCAATTTGTTGGATTCCGCATCTATTTATAACATATTATAGTTATTAAAAGCACATCACTATAAGATGGCAAATTTAGTACACAATTAGTGAACAGCGCGGGATGTCCCCAAATAGCCCAATTAATACGCTTATTTTCGATATTTAATAATTAATTTCCGATTTGTTTTTTTTTGTATGTTTAAGCCAGTAATAGTATAACAATGTTAATACTTTACCAGTTGCTGCTTTTAAATAAAAATATAGCCATGTTACTCACTGATAACGTAGCTTTTTAATGGTGAAATATATTTGTGAATGCAGCCATAAAAAGTCCAAATCTTTCCTCTTTATAATATTACTATAGATGTTTAAATTTTCCCAAGTTCCGATTAATGAAACTTTGTTTCGTCTTTTTATGTTACTATTTTTAGTGCAAAAATATTTCTAGTAGTATATTACAGTGCTAGTCTTTACCGATCCCTAATAAATTCTACACAAATAATTTCACAATGAAACCTTCACTATTAAAAATAGTAAACGCATTAGCAAATGATATCCTTATCTCGGATTAATATAAAAAATCTGTTATGACAGCGTAAAGCAAATATTTTTGTAAGTTATCAGTTTCGCCTTGACAAGGGCGCATCGGATTATTATCGAATAAAACTCGGTGTTGCAATTTACAAACGGTTGAATTACAAGCGAATGTATATTATTGCCGATCACAATTAAAATTTAAAATCCTACTGCAATTAGAATTGTATGCAACAAAGTAAATAAAACAGTACACAAAAACCTACATATTTGCTTCATGCTAATCGTGTTTTAGGAAATAGTGACATATTAACTAGTAATGAAGCACTTAAAAATATTCCTACCCGTAATAAGACAATAACATTGTTACCTCTAGAACGTTTTAATCTATTTTGAAGACTAAAGTATTTTCGTCCTTCCCGTAATATGTCTATAAAATGATTATCTTGTTCCAGGCTCCATAATAGTGGTGGGCTCAGCACTGGTTGTGTGGCTGACGGAGTGGCCCTACAAATATTACATCGACCCCGCGCTCAGTATAGTTCTAGTCATCTTGATACTTGCTTCAGTTTGGCCACTGTTAAGGGAATCTGCACTAATTCTGCTGCAGACCGTACCTACACATATACAGGTTAGCAATATAAAAATTATGTTATTTGCTGTATACTTTTCAAGTATTTCGTAAATAGTAGATGGTGACAATTTGTATATCATTACAAGTACTAAGATGTATTTTATTTTGGATATTTCCTTATAATCCAACTAAATATCCGACTCAAAGGACCAAACTTAATGCTAAGGTTTTGTGAATTTACGTGTAGGATACGATTACATTTAAAAATATTTGTTGATATCCTGAAATAAAGGAATAAACAATGTCACCTTTATTAGATTTTTCTGATTAGATTACAAATAAATAGATATGTGTTGCGAAATATAAAAGTTCTATGTATTGTGTGGTTAGCAAGCGGATACCAAGTTACATAAATCGATAATAATCTAAATATTTGTGGTAATACACGACTTTTTTAAATAAAGTAAAAAGGTACTATGAATTTAAGTTGTAGACCATAGATTTAATGATTGTATTTACGAGATTTATATATGCACAGTAACAAATATTTGTATCTAGAAATATGTTGTTTTTTAATAGTAAACTTATGATGTCATTCTGATATTGTTGGTTTACTCGTATGTATGTATAACAAACAGCTAGAATGTTTGTCTAGCGACACATGTCTAGTATTCGCACGTGTTATACAATGTAGGGTACTTTAATCAAATGTTTGCCGCATGTTCAAACGTTGGCAAATGTTTGCGCAGGTGGACGCGATACAGCGCCGCTTGTTGGAGAAAGTGGATGGAGTTTTGGCGGTACACGAGTTCCATGTTTGGCAGTTGGCTGGTGATAGGATTATAGCCAGTGCTCATATAAGGTATGTTAAGTCATAGTTCCACTGGTTAAATTTACCATTTTGGTTTCCTTTATTTTGTACATAAAATGTTAGCGATTATAACTTGCCATTATTTTTTATAAATCAGAATAATCACTTCTGTTCTAGAAATGTAATTAAAAAACTGAAATTTTCATGCTTAAAATATGTATTTTTATACAATTGATTTTAATTCAACAGAATATTGAAACAGCTATATATGTTGCCATGCGACAATCTTTACCTTTTGCATTTTTACTGATATTGTTATCGATGTTCCTTAGGCGTAGTTGCCAATACGTATAGCATTCATTGGTTCCGAGTTCGAATCAGATATAATTTCTATCGATATAATAATTTATTTTTGGACATTTAGAATAGATAAGACTACATAATTTTTTTTTTATATTTTAAAACTTTTATGTCAAAATTTAATGTTTGTTAATTATTTGTGTTGATTTACAAACGGTCGACCAGAGACTTAAATTGAAGAATTTATAAAAATTGAATTTGTGTGGGCCTTATTACCAAAAATGAAAAACTGTTGTTTTTCAATATTTCTAATATGGATGTTTTAAGGCTTGCCCCATTATTACCGAATACTAAATAGGTAGTAAAATTGGCGACTCTTCATACGTCACAGGCATATCTCCCGACATGTTGCTGATAACGAAAGCCTTTAATATGACCCGATAACGCTCCTCGGTGTGGGAATTAACTTATCTATCGAGAGGCTAGCGAACGACGTTTGTGATTTCAATGCAAACTTGACAAATGTACATATACACGAATAAAAGTAATAATAAATTCAAATAATACCGTTCTAGAGCAACATCTGTATTTTTTTATTTTTAAATTTACTGTATTACGGTGTGTAGTATTGTCGCAAATGCATACCCCAAAACTACGTACTTTTTTAATTTTTTTCTTGTAAAACGTCACGATTTCATTATAAATCTGACGTTTCGATTAACAAAGCGTTTACTTTGAAAAATCATGCGAGAATTAATTCCATTGGCAGAATGCCAACGGGGCCTTTGTCCTGGAATCCGCGACAGCGACTGCGATGGCCGCCGGCGCTTTTATTTCGTGTTTTAATTTTGAATGAATGATAAATTGCCTTTCTTGTAAAAGGAATTTCAATCTCGGATTTCGCTAATGAAATGGTTGGTAAAATAAATAAAAACAATGATACAAACAACTCATGTAGACGCAAAATTAATTACATTTTTGTAGCGATATTTCGTTTAGATAATATTTAAAAGCTTAATAAAAAATATATAGGTAAATACTTCCAAAAGAATGTAACCAGTACTAGTATTTATACGTCTAGATAGCCAATAAAACTTAGTTAGTTTACCTTTATCTCTATAGTTTGTTGTCCTAGTTATTAACTGAATTTAAAATAATTTATTTAACCATAATACTGACGTTTGTAAACCATAAAATCTGCCTACTGAAGAAAAACATCATCTACGTGTTTGGAGACGTCTCCGACCGCGAGACTGTTCGCAAATAACGCTATCAAACGATGTTTTGCACACGTAGCGTCAATATTAGCGCGCGGAACTATTTTTACAACGTTTTTTTGTTTATTTGGAACACGGGGCGGCCTTAGACGATTTTCTGTGTTTTTCACGATGCTATTTCGAAATTCTCTAATGATTAATGTAACGTTCAATGTCGCTGCGAATTTTACGTACTCAAGTGAACTCGTTGGCAATTAATGTGTTATTTTCAGACGCTTAATAAATAAAGGTTTCCTTTTCATAGAGAATTAGATGATAAAATCTACGCTAATATCAAATAACCATAAGGACATAATAGCGTCGGTGACTCGGGGGTTAAGCACTTGCATCCGCAGGTTGTGGGTTCGAATTCAATTTTATTTTTTGATTTTTAAATTTCATGTGTTTACCCGACGTTTTTACGGCTAAAATCATGCATATTTAACGCCTGAACATATCTACCAAGAAATTCAAAGATATGTATTTAAATGGGCCAGCTTAGTTGACTAAGTCACCCCTAATTTAGGTAGGGTCCGAGCCACTATTTGGGGACTTATAGTGAACCAATACTGATGACATAAGATTGAATGCACCAGATTTTAACTCTTTATTATAGTAACGTGAGTTTAACTATAATATTTTTGCGCGGTTGCAGTTTTCAGTATATCGGATATCCAAGTATATTGTAATTTAAAGACAAAATTTGCTTTCGGCGAACATAATATCGAAGTGGAGACGTGAAGATTGTTTATATAACAGTGAATCACACGGCCTTTGTTAACTGATATATTTAAGTCCTACCTTCGCGTTCACAAAGGATCAATTGATTTGTTAAACAAAGAATTTCCTCGATCATTGCCGGACTGGGTAGGATTTATATTTCCACATCCTCCTATCTTAGGACAGTAGAACCTCGATAACTCAAACCTCGGTAACATAAAAACCTCTATAACTCCAAAAAATATGTTCCCTTCCCATCCGAGCCCAAAACCTCTAAACATAGACCCTTGATGACTTAAAACCTCTATAAATTAAAATATTTTGTGTTTCCCTTGGACTTTAACTTATCCAGGTTCTACTATGTAAAAACATAAACGTTTTCATCGACAGAAATTTTACGAGAATTTTTTTACTTTCCAGATGTAGGAATCTATCTGAATATATGAAGATAGCTGAGAAGGTGAAGGAATTCTTCCACAACGAGGGCATTCACTCCACGACCATACAGCCGGAGTTCATTGAGCTGCCGCTAGATGGCACTGAGGTAATTTAAAATTTTATTTATTTTTATTTTATTTTATTTATACAAACATACAATATCACAATTTAAATATAATTTTACGAATACATTTTTCACATTTTTTTTCGCTTCTAATTTTAAATTCGGTATTTTGTTCAACTATATGTATATCCTTGGCTCCTTTACTATGTTGATTCCCTGTATTAAAGGAGCCAATGACTTTTAAAAATCTACTTTTTATTATGTTCTTATGAAATTTACTGATATTTAGCGGACTAACTGGTATGTAGTCGTTAAAGGGTCATTAAAGAAATGTAACACTAACCGACTGCTTAAGTAATCATAAATCAACTCTGAGTATAGTAGGTAAAAGTAAAAAATGGTAATTAAAGGTTTCAAGCTTAATAATGTTTAAATGACATTTCTTATAATTTTGTCTGGTTTTCGTTGTAAGAAAAGACCAGGTCATAGCTAAAATAATCCGCTGTGGGAGAGCCATAAACAAGAAATAGAATAGAATAGAAGCTAAAATAATTGCCATTAAAACAATCATACTTAATATTATAAATGCGAAAGTTTAGATGGATGGATGTTAGTTTGTAGACTAAACGGATATCGATGAAATATTGTATAGATGTAGAGGATAGTCCAGAACTCATAGGCAAACACTTTTTTTTTAATTCCAAGTGGACGGAGTCCCGGGCGTAAGCTAGTAAATAATAATAAAGAACAGATATTTTACTTAACATTTTTACTTTTAAAGTGTTAACAAATTATCATTTCCTTACAGACCAGTATAATAACAGTTTTATTTTTTAATAGATTTATGCACCCCAATGTGTAAAGCAATTTAACCATATGTAAAGGAAGTCCATTCAAATATACGTGTTATTCGAATCCTTTCATATTGTAATATAATTCCCGAAAATTGCGCACAGCTATTGAAATTTAAATGACGAGTGCATTAGTCAGATATTGATGTATTTATTATAGCTGTTGCTCGACTTCGTTGAAATTAAAAAAAAAATATAGCCTATGTATCTAATAACGTAGCCTTTAAAAGGTGAAAGAATTTTTGAAATCGGCCCAGTAGTTTTTGAGTTATTGCAAAACATCCTACAGGCCCTATCTGGTCTGCATTGCAATACTTACAGAATTTCATCCCTCATTTCGTTTATTTATTTATTTTGACGTCATATACTTGTTTTTTGCATGTTTTTACTTTTAGTTATAATTGGTATAATTTTAAATTTGTTATTTTCTGTGTATTCTAGATTTTGTAAGTGCTGTAGTGTTCTGAATAGATTAAATGATTATTATTATTATTACTTACAAAAAAACAAATCGTTCTTCTTCATAATAGTGTAGATGAGATCGGTTGGATATTATGAGAAATATATCTTTATGAAATACTAGCTGTTCTCATGCGGCTTCATCCGCATTGTATTGTGAAAAATGTTCTTTACATTCCATAAAACTCAATTGCAAATGTCTAAATTCAAATGACAATGAAGTTCCTTTGCCTGAGAACTCAAATAACCATGCAACCGTTCTTAGTACCAGCAAAGCTGTAGTTTAATCTCGTAATTTTTGTCCCTTTCTCTCATGCCCTAAAGAGCCTGAAAGTGTAGGCGTTTTTATGAAAAACTTGCTGTGATTGCTAATGTCCTATAACAAAGTATGTGTTTACGCTGTATTATATTAAGTACTAGCTGTTGCTCGCGACTTAGCTCGGGTAAAATTAATAAATAGTAAAAAAGCCTAAATTACTCATTGTTAATGTAGTTTTTTAATAGTACTAGCTGTTCCCGTGAGGCTTCATGCACGTGAAATTGTAAAAAGTTTATTTTATTGGTTACATTTGTCAAATTATTAATTGCAAGTGTCAAAATGACATGACATGATGACAAACCATAGCAACCTTGATTCCTTGATGTTGGCAACAACTTATGGTCTCTTTCCCACATTAGGGTTTTTATCCAAAATATTTAGCCCCTAGTAAGTGTCACAAAGAAGTGTGTGTTTACGATTTATTATAATATAGTAAAGATAAGAGGTTTTTAAAATTGGCCCAGTAGTTTTTGAGTTATTTCAATACATCCAAAATTACGAATCTTTCCTCTTTATAATATTAGTGTAGATATGTTTGTGTACTTTCGTGCGTTTTAAGTTTAATAAATTTAAACAAAGCGTAACTGAATCCTTAGAATGTGTTATAAAGAATAAATCGTATTCAGATAATGTTAACTAAATAGTATTACTAGTGTAAGAAATAGTAATTATGGTGCAGATGGTGAGCGGAGTGTCAGCGGCGGACCCCTGCGCGCTGCACTGCCCCCCTAACGACCTCTGCCACAACGCCACGTGCTGCGGACCTAACCAGCAGGTATGTTCACAGTAGAGCTCGCTTTACATCTTCGCACTGCGGCGCCGGCTGCCAACGATACCACGACCACACAGAAGACAGGTGTCAAATGGAACCAATTCCGCGTTTTCTGATGAATGTGGTACTAAAGGCCTGATTTTAGTCCCTTTCCCTTCCCACCCTTTTCTTAAGAGGAAAGGATGGAAAGGAAAAGTGGATTTAAAGGTGGAGGGGACGCATAGGAAGGGAAAATGTCCTCTTTATATGCGTCTCCTCCATCAATTAAGGGTAGGCAACGCATCTGCAATTGCAGATGGTTATGGGCAGCGGTCACTTTCCATTTCGGTGGATTCAGGTGGCCGCTTGCTTATTGCCACTTATAGTATAAAAAAATACCATCATCATCGCATCTTCACCAGCTCACTATATTTCGCTGAGAGTCTCAGAAACTACCCTAAGTTAGTGATTAGGTCTTAGTCAACCACGCTGTACTGCGGTTTGACTTCACATAACTTTGTATTTCTTTAAATGTGCAGACATCACTATGTTTTTCTTCACCGTAAGAACGTTGGGTAAATAATGTACTTATGAATTTCGGAAAATTGAAAATCACATTGGTACGGTGGGATTCGAATCTAGGACAAGTCAAGTTTCAAACTCAAGTAACCGACGATCGAATAACTTCACATTAACATATTATCAAGAAAACATAACTTATATAACAAATTCAAAGTATAAAGTCCTGCAATATAGTTAATCCTAGACTCATCTAACTTAGGGTATGCTCTGAGCCCCTTCAGTAGGGACTTACTAACTGTATGATAGGGGGCCATTTTAATAAATCACTTTTGACGTTACATCGAAAGTCAACATGTAACCTGGTTAAGGCGATGTTTTTTTTTAAATTAGAACTATACGATTGCTTAACTTGTCCGAAATTTTAATTTTTTTTTTGTAATGGGAGTTACAAGCACTAGGGATGTTAGAAAAATTTTTTTTTTTCACATGTATTTGTGAAACGAATTACACTTTATTTAATTTTTTTTTCAGTAAGTCTCATCTTAAAACAAATGTAGACATCACGTGACCTATTAAAATGGCCCACCCATGCTTTAAATGTTTCCAATATAAAAGTTGTTTTATTTTAGAATTTATCTAAAGTAGGCTCTCATTGCTTTAATCACGTTTGTAAGGAGGAAAACGATATATTTGTGAAGATTCTTAGTAGATATATTTTTCTATTTGGATTGCAGTTTTTCAGTTTAGAAACGATAACGGTACGGTAATATTTTTCAAGGACGAGAGCGATTAGCTTTGCCCAGTCGGAGTTCTACAAGTTTACTGTCAAGAATATAGAAAAATCAGTGTTTATAAATGTGTATAGTTTATTATATTTTTAATAGTTTTTATGTTATATCGGTGCCAAATGTTAGGAATATTTTAGATGTTTAGATATTGTTTAGATAGGTTACTTTTTTTTTGTTTTGTATTAATGTTAATCATTATACGTACGCTGTGATAATTTGGTTTTTTATTTATCTTTTTTTATACACTGACTTACACGTTTTAATACAATTTAGTACATAATACACTGTTATGTTTACTATTATACATTATTTTTAAAATTTCACTAAGAGACGATAAGAAAGTATTTTACCGTTTTTTAGATTTTTCATATGTTGTTAATTTTATCTTATTCACTACAATAAGAAGTTATTTTCCAAATAACATTAAAAATAACATAATAAAATTACACTAATAACAAAATACATTACCTTACCAAAATAGTTATATTTTCACAATTTAACACTGGTTTTTTATATTTGGAGATACAGTTTAAAGAAAATTCACTTCGCTAATGAGATAAAGGGTACTATTACTTTCTGATTTTAGTATTTTACGGTATTTATTTCATTACATGTATTTTATTGGTTAGCGATTTTAGTTAGATTTGACCCATGCTTACTAGAATATTTTAATTTTATTATGATCATTAAGTTAGTAAATAACTAAATATTAAGATTCTGACTTTCCCATGTATTAAGAAATAAATTATTCCAATTTTAAAATTAACCAAGATTTGTATCTATTTAAAGTAAAAGGTATGCTTAATTATTCAAGAAATGTAGCTTTAAAATATTTGTAGTATTCATAATTATTCATAGAGAATAGTAGTTAACAGTATATTGCAATAAAAAAGTTAACTATAGTCGAATTCAAATGGAATGAAAATTATAACAAACGTATCTTAACTTTTTTATCTTTTGTTTTTACAAATATGTTCGTATCAATTTAAATAATTAAACTCTATAATAAAATCCATCTTTCTAATATTATAAATGTGAAAATTAAGATGGATGTTTGTTAGAGTTTGTAGCCTAACGGATTTCGATGAAATTTTGTGTATATATAGAGGATAGTCTGGAAAAACACATTGGCTAATCACTTTTGCTTTTTTATTCCATGCGGGCGAAGTCGCGGGAGAAAGCTAGTAGACCATAAATGTATTAATCAACCATTTTATTTCCATTGAATTCAACCTTAGTTACATGATCTTATATACTTAAATACTGACTTATAATCTAGATACCAGTGTAGATGACCTAGGTATATTGGTACAATTCCAGGAGCGCAGTACGCCGTCGCCCGCAGTGACGCCCTACCTGTGTCGTCAGCGGACTATGGGCTCGCGCGCGGAGTCCGCGACCTCCGTGGGCCCCGCACAGGCAGCCAGGAATCTAGACGCCCTGGAATGTGGGTACGTATCCGACTTGAAGGACCATTTCATTCGTCTATACTAGTTTAATAATATTAAAATTTAAATTTCCCTACGGAGGGTCGGCACAGTATGTGCTGCTCTTCCATACATATCTATCAAGCGTCATATCTGAATCCACTCCTTTCTTAAGTATCACTCTTTTACACAATCCATCCATACTTTCTTCGGTCTTCCTCTACTTGTAGTCGTCCACATTCATTCTTAACACTTTCAGGTTTATGTCCCCATCGTCTCGTCGCATAACATGTCCATACCACGCTAACCTTTTGCTTCTCAATTTCTTTACCACTGGCGCTACTTTCAAACTTCCTCTAATATACACATTCTTAACTTTATCCATTCTTGTCACACACATCCATCTTAACATACGCATTTCAGCATAATCATACATAAATTTGTAGCTAATACATCTAACTATCTTACTAATATTATAAATGCGAAAGTTTAGATGGATGGATGTTTCTTTTTGTAACCTAAACGGCTGAACGGATCTTGATGAAATTTGGCATAGCTAAAGAGTATGGTCTGGAAGAACATATAGGCTAGTTTTTTTTAATTCCACGCGAATGGAGTCACGGCCGAAAGCTAATATAAAATAGCATAAGTAAGATTCGGCTGTTAAAACCCATAGAAACGTAAACTGGCTTGTGCTGGATTTTGTAATTTTTAAATATATTTAAAAAACATTACTTGCACAACTGAGGACTTTTAAGATTTGTATCGTTTCTCCAACAAAATTCGAAAACTCAGAATACACTTAATTGATTCAATACGTAAGTTACGTATTTAAATGCACGAAGTAAGGAAAAAGCAAGTCATGTTTGCTAGAACGCATATAAATTGCATTTGAAAAAAATCACTTGTTATTTTATTATGCACGTAAAGTACGCATTGATTGTCGCTCGGGGAAAGACACAAAACGACAAAGGAAAAAAATATCTAAAGCCTTCAATACTGCACAACTTCAGTTTTAATTGAGCAATCGAATTGTACAGTTAAAGTTTTTCCAACA